GATTCAACTTTGTCCTTCGCTATCTCCAATGCTTAACTGTGGAACAGTTCTTGTAAAGATCTTACGGTTCCAAGGTTTTCAACACATGAATAAAATTAATCCTTGCTCCTCGTTGCGCTATGTTCCACTTCCCACGACTCGGTTCTTTCCCACACCTTGCAGACATTGATATTCCCGAAAAACTGTACTTTTTGCAGTCTTCATGCATAATCACTGAACCTTTGAATGGTCTGCCTACCTTGGAGTTTATAGTATGATGCACTATATGCATGCAATGGGTCATCGCTCCCATAGTGTGCAACCATGTGGCAGGAGTGTTCCCATGTGCTGTTGTACAGCGCTAGCGGCTGCCACCACGAGAGCAGTCCCCGATACGTGTGGTTCGTGAGTGTTGCGGGCAGAGGAGGGGGTGATTAATTATGATACGACGACTCTCCGTCCGTCGAGGATGCCCCTCCCGCCGCTGACGTGATAAATGGGCAACTAGCCAACGCGACATTTCCCCCTATCGATTACTTTCGCACGACGTGTCAAGGTCCTGCACAGATTTCCTTGACTCTCATTTGTCGTTTTAACGAGCAGAGAGTTGTTCGAAACACCGAGAGAAGTTGCAAAGAAGATGTGACGTTGACTGGCGCGATGTTAAAGGTCAACCACAAACGATGGGTACCGTAATCCTAGCGCGGCGGGTGGCGCTCGCAATTCATGTTCGTGTTAATGACCGCGTTTAACTGCGCGCGCTCGTTCATTGCTTGATACTCACCAATTAATAAGGGAACGACTTTGCGTTATACGGTAGCCAGAAGGATACGGTACGCTGAAGGGTGGCAGATTTTGTTTGTGGTTTTTTTTGCTTGGCATTTTTTGGAGACATGTAACAAGTCCTAGTGGGAACTAGTGGTCTTCGTGAAGAACGTCTTGCACCTTCTTTCGAACTTTCACCTAAACTCTATACTTTGGCATTGCTGGCCACCCCTCGGAGACGCTGAACTATAAATATCCGGGCGCAGTTCGCGACGGGGAGGGGGCTACTTCCCACCAGTGTCGACCCTAGATATGTAGCCTTTTACTGAGTTTACACGTTTCACCTATGGTGGCTAGGCGAGCTTGCTCCAGCTTCACAACAGTTCACAAGTTTCACCAGAGTGAGACTTGTAAACCGGAAGTAGTGAAGCAGTGAAAGTGCAAAATGCCCCCCCCCCATCGCGCCACACCCGTTTAGGTTCCTCGTTACTTCAACTAAGAGCTCTCGATTTCTCAGAAAGAGTTAGTATGCCTTAATTTGCCAGGGCTGATGCCAGGCGCTGGTAGCTGTGGTTGCTGTGTAGCTCTTACTGTTTCTGCAAACCTGTTTCTTCGCAAAATTTGCCCCTATCACAGTTTTAGTTCTTGTGAAAAGAGTACTTAAATCAGCAATATCTTTCGGAAGTGTTAGTGAGTCGTAAATTGGCCTTTTGACCCCTTTCTTTAGGTCATTAGTTTTTGTTTCCAAAAGAATCAACAGTTGGTTAGGAAGTGAGTCATAAAGGAAACCATTCCTTCCACTTCTACCTTTGTTCCTCCCTTTTTCCTTCGAAGTGTCAATTTCTGCAAGTCGACGTGCGTTGTCGTTTTGAAGCGATAATTGAACTCGTTTTGCTCGCTGTTAATTGTTAAAAGGTTCACCATCAGTTTTGGATCTAAAATTACCATCTAGCTTGATGTTTTGTAGAGGCGTATCCAATGCGCATCCTGGAATGCGCTAACAAAGTTGTTTTGGCACTGACAATGAGTGCCAGGTTGGCTTTAGGGCTTCATGCTCCGAAGAAAGCCCTTTTTTGTGAAGACCTTGGCACGTTTCCGAGCTCACTGGAATCATATGCATAAAGGCTTGGATTTTGTACCTTCGGCTCAGTATGGCATCACTGGTAGAAAAAGGCTGCCCTAGCTGCGCCCCAATCCACAGGGTACAGCATCGTTGTGCGAAACACATGAGGGTCGTACTTGCCCGCTGAGGAGGGGGGGGGTCGTATTTGATCGTTGTTGGGAGAGGAGGGTCGTATGTGCTTTTGAGAGAAATTTGCCGCAGCATTTTCATATAGAAAAACATTTTTCCCGATTGCTGAGTTTTCGTGGTTTTATCCGTTTCACATTTGCTATGTATCCCCTCCCCCTCCCCCCCCATCCTCCCCCACCTTGACGCGAATTTTTTGTATGAAGACTGTGGCACGTAGGAAATTTCCAGAACTGGTAGGAAGCTGGGTATAGGAAAGTGGTGGATAGGCATCGGTGAAAAGGGGTCCTACCGAGAAGGGGGAGGTCGCACCAAGATCCTCCCTCAGGAGGGGAGCAGTGTGTACTTCGGCACCACCATTTCACACATCACACTGTATCCTGCCAATCCATGCCACATCACAGGCTCTATCGTTCGCAGGGATCATGCGTATTTCGCGTTTCTCCTAAATTTCAACGCAAATTCGAGACGCTACACCTTGTTTTGGCGTATCTCCTCCTGGTCCCAAAACGTTTTCAGACAACCCAACATACTGCAGACCTTCCCACTGGCTGTGATTAAAAACAATGCTTGTTAAACAGGATGAGCGAACTGGTGAGATTACGCACTACACGGCTTTCTGAGGCCTCTTAGAACTCGCACTCCAGACGGAGAATTGATGGCGCCTCTTTGTGTATCGGAGCTGCGTATGGTGAGCTATCAATCAATAAACCGCGTATGATCAATAGACTGAGGCAACAGCGCGGTAGACGATCGACCGCGCAGCCCGTCGCCCTGAGTCCCATCGCCTAGTGATTTACCACCGAGGGATCGTTACCTGTTAAAGAATCATAGGCCGCGGTGATTGAGTGGATAATTGCGATACTTTAGACGTTCCCAATCTTGCCGGTGAGATGAATCTGCTCGAGATGCGCAGGATACGTTGGCATCGTTCCAGCCACTGATTAATAGTCAATGCAGCGAGCAGTTACGATTCTTCCTATGTTCCGTCTATCCCTTTCCATGCTGCAATTGAGAAGGTGAGGTCCTTTGGAAGAAGAGGCTAACAATCGCATGACAGTCACTCATCATCTCACACTAAAGTAGGACAATCAGTAAAAGCAAAAAGAACACATTGCGCACAATATGCAGACCTCCCACATTGCTAGCAAGGAGGGTGATTTCAGCAAGAAGGGATTCATGAGCAATCCTCCTACGGAAGAGGGAGTTTCGAGTAGACAAGTTGTTTCACAATATGTTTCTAAAATGTCGAGCGAATAGGTCAAGTATTCACGGCAGCGATATCGCATGCAGTGCGGCCTCCCAATTCTTGACGTCCGAGGCCTGTCTGTTCAGTCTCACTGATTTCCGTTTTTCGGTTGAGGCTGACTCGGATTTTGCAAGAATTTTTTTACACGTCAGTAGCCGCGATAAAAATCAAATAGGGAAAAACTTAAGGAGCCGGTGGCTACAGCTTTTTGCTTTGGCGGCAACCTAGCTGACAAGAGGGTCCTATTTGGTCGCTCGGGGAGGGGGGTCGAGGGGGTCGTATTTGGTCTGTTTGCAAGAAATTTTTTTGAGACATGATTTTTCTTGTTTACAATCCAATAAGAGGGGGGGGGGTGTCGTATTGGCTCGCTAGTTGTGGAGGGATGTTATTTTACAGTCGAGAGAAATTTGCGGCATCGAGAAAAACTTATTCCTGTTGTCTTTTCGCGGTGTTTACCGCTTCACATGTACTATGTTATACCGTTTAGTTGATGGCCCCGAAGGCACATCATTGTTGGGGATTCCCCAGCAGGGCACATCGTTGTTGGGTAGTCCCAATGGTGGGGGGGGGTATCGTATTTTTTGGCGAAGAATGTGTTTTGAATAAGTTGATTTTCTCGCGCTTCATGGACGTTGTAAAGGGGGGGGGTCGTACTTGGTCATTTTTGGGAGGGGGGTCGTATTTACGTTTTGGCGTTCTGGGAGTGGCGGTTGACTTTTGGTGATTTTCCTGTTCACTGATACTATCATCGCCCCGGCTCCCCTCCCCCTCCCGCTCGCGACTGATTCGATGGAGGAAAGACAGATAAACTGGGGGGGGGGTGTCGTACCGACTTCCAAAAAGGGGGCTCGAACAACATCCCCAACTAATGATGTGTCCTGTTCCCCAACAATGGAGATGGTTTGGTTGTTGAGAGAGGGAAGGGGCCGTATTTGAGCGGGAAAAAGTCTTTTTGATAGTTGGTTTTTATTGTCTGGGACGTTTGTAGAGCGGGGTCGCATTTGCTCGTTGTTGGGAGGGGCCTGTGTACTCTTGCCTTATGACCCTCTGAGACGAGTTGCTGACAGTTTTTCGCGTTTTTTTCCCAATTCATGTGCACCATACACCCCCTCCTCTACCTCCTCCCTGGTCGTTTTCCCTTATCCGACAGCGATAAAGAGTAGGAGGGAATCAGGGGAGGAGGTGGTACAGATCGACCAAAATCCTCAACCAATGATGCGCCCTGGGTGCCGCCCATGTATGCAACTACTAGTGATAGTTGAGAAACCTGTTGTTGGTTGCTCGATAGATCTCCCTCCCCTCGCTGATCGACGCAAACCGGGAAGGGACCAAAAAGTTTAGTGAAATTCCTGAAAATTAGGCCAAAGCGGTAGGAAGATGGGATAATTTAATAAAGTGGAAGGATGGGAAACGGGAGGGCGTATCAGAGGAAGGAATGGGGGGGGTGTATCTTCCGCGAAAAGTTTCCCCAGCGGCAGACGTGCCCCTGTTGGCTTTCGGCGCGCTGTGATCAACCGTTACGATGAGTTGATGCTACTTGCTGTTCTCAGCACACAGGAAAGATTATACGGAAGCTGGATCAACTTCCACATCTGCCATTTCCGAACAAATGGTCCAGATAACTGGTTTTACCTACGTTTGTGTGACCGAAATTTTTAAGGAAAAAAAATCTACGTACAGCGACGAATAACTCACACTTGAGATTGATTTTCATCTAGACCAATGAGACAACAATGAGCTGATAGCGATCTGTATATGATGCATTTGATTCAGATCCCGCAGCCGATTGGGCCATGTCGCCCTCTGTGCGAGACCGTCCGCGACAAATGCCTGCCACTCCTCAAAGATTTCGGCTTTTCTTGGCCGACACAAAATCGATTGCCAGCAAGTTTATCGCTGGGTATGCGTGTACAACCTGGAAGCACCAATGTATAGTTTTCAGAAGCGCAAAAGAAGGTTTTCTTTCTCTTTGAGTTGAGTTTAGTCAGAGACTCTGAACTTTATCCCAAAGCTCAGAGCTGGAACAACACCATTACAACTGTCATCTTTTTTTGCTATTTTGCATATGTAGAGGAATGTGACAATAGATATTAATCGCAGACAGGTCTAGAAAGCAGCAGCGCAGTCGCGGCCGACGCAGAGAGGGGCAATTCACAGTACCGCTGCTTCACTAGTCCCGGTTTACAAGTCTCACTCCGGTGGAACCTGAAATCTCTCGCTAAGGTTGAGCTAGCTCATCGAGGCACCATGGTGAAACTTGTCAAATCTTGTGAGCCCGCGAAAATGGTTCTTCAGACGGCGTTCAACACGTCATGGCAGCAAGTAGCACAGTGCAAAATGCCCCCCCCCTCCCCCACTATCGCCAAACTGCCTCGAACGTCGCTTTGTTCTACTTTAGCAGGTTAACTAGAGGTGATGCGCGCACAAGCGCAGCCTATACCGACTGAACTGCGTACACCCTGGCACTGTTTCGTACCATATGAATTCTGGGAGTAGGGAGCTGAATCATGCTGCAGACAGCCCTTGTAGTGCGCCGTAAACTCTTATTCGCTTCGGTAACACAAAAACCAGTATTAATATAAAAAAGTCAACAATGATGCCGAAACTCAACATAAATTGCTCCTGGCTGTCTCGGAACTGATATCTCCCTGCATTTGAATTGATGGTACTAGATGGAAAGCCTGGGAAATCGGAAACACTGCTAATCGTTACCACTTTATACTGCGACATGGCTACAGCAGCATCTTTTCCTTTTACACCTTATGCCTCGCTTCTCCTAACCTCGTTCTCCGAACACGAGGTGAAAAAACTAAAAACACCAGTTTTATGTGTATAGATAGTACGGCGGTTTAAGGTGTCACCTGTACCACAGAGTTTGCTTTACTCTGGATTGACATGCACACCCTCTCCCTCTGTTGAGACGGGACTACCTCTAGGTTGCAAAGGAGGGGTCTAAGCACTCCCTTATGGCAAAGTAATCAAAATAGCCAGAAATCTAGCGTTAAGCCATAAATAAAGCAAAAACTAATTTCACTGGAAGAACGCTTGAGGCGGAGGAGATATAAGGCAAAACGCCTGGCTTATCGGTCCTTGTCTGTGTCCTCGAATAGGCTCGCACTCGGGTCTCAGGGCACATCATTGGTTGGAGATTTTGTTCCAGTCCGTGCGACCCCCCCCCACCCTAAGGGGATGACCTAAAACGACTTCCCTCATCCTTGTCCTCCCTACCTCATTTGATTTTCCCCACTTTTCCACCACCTTTTTCCAGTTTTTCTAGAAGTTCCCGAAAATTTTCCTATATTTTCTCCAAAATTTTGCTGCCGAGCGGGGGAAATATGTAACAGGAGAAACCGTGAAAAGTCAACAACCGGGAAAAATCTTCCTAACGCCGCATATTTCTCTTAGAAGGCAACTACGACTCCCCCTCCTAACAAGGGACCATTACATCCCTTATAGTTTCTGTGAAACAAGAAAGAGCAACTATCAAAACATTTTTCCAAACCAAATATATTCCCCTCCCCTGTTGGGGATTCCCAACGATTGTGCCCTGCCAGGTCTACCAAGTGTTCTGCTCCTTCGGAGTCGGTCAATTCCTACCAGTCCTAGACTTGTCTAGAACGATAAAAAGACCAACTTGCATCAGCTGGCCCACGGAAGTCATTGTACTGGCCAAATAGTTTTCAAAAGCTACTAAGATTCTAAGTGGCAGATGAATGCGTGGCGCATCTAGAAACTGGGTTGATTAGAGGCTGAAGCTTCACCCTTTTTCTCTGGATCAACCAGTGGCTTATTTCAGAAAACAATAATGAGGATATGTGTATGCGCGGACCGAATGAAGAGGGTGTGATTGCAAGGAGTCCCGAAGAGTATGACAAAGAAGACTGTCCACCTGAGCATATCTACGTGAATCGCAGTGGTCGTTGCATTCCAATCTGTGCAGCAGGACAAGGTATCAAGCAGGTAAGTCATCGTGAAGTTTCTATGAATTCTTCGTCAATTCAGCTCGAATGGCTTCAGATCGATCGCGAATCCGCCTCAACAGCACTTTTCGTACTGTCCATCATCAGCCTTGTGATCACTGCCATTTGCGTGCTGACGTTTGTTATGCGGTGAGCTGAAGACTTTTCAAGATTTACAGTTCCATTCGCATGAGTATAGTGACTAGTTACAACTCCATTAGCATCAGTAATAAGTAAGTAGAAGGTGATTCGTAGTGCACAGCACCAAACCAATTGCCAAATCATCGAAGATCTTCCAGACGTCACTGCCTCACAGCCCTGCCAGAGACCAGTCTTCTATGGACGGCACTTTCCTTTGCCTTAAGCTCCATCGTCTACCTATTCAGTCTACTCTACCGCGAACAGGTAAGCTTTATCGCGATAGAAAATCTTCCAGTTCTGTCCGTTTGGGTTCGAAGCGAACGCCATTACAAGTGACTGGGAATTGAGTGATCCACTGGCGTCCTTCCTGGTAAAGGACCTTCTTTCTTAACTCTCAAAGGTTTGAATTTTTGACTGATGTGTTGCAGATTCCGTTGGAAGTATTCTTCTTAAAAACAAGCGGGTGCACTCGGCTAGATTTGTCCTTGCCATGTACGGAGCGTATGGTTCGCAGCAGCTGCAGTGACGTACTTTCCTTTCAAAAGTGCACGGGAACCTTGGGGGGAGGGCAGTGGTACCAGAGCGCCGTCTCCACACCCCGGCCCGCAACGATGTATCCGCGAGGTGCAGCACTTACGTCAAGGTCCTGCAGCGAAACAGTCACTCAGCGGTAGAGTGACAAAAGTGAAACGGCGCAGGCTAGCAGCACGTTTGGCACGACTAAAGGTGAAGCCGAGGCAGCGCCAGGCAGAGTTTGGGATTCGGCGGGGGATATCACTCCCCTTCAGAACCGTTCCCGTGCACTTTTGATCAGAGAAAGTCCCGCTACTGTAACTGCGGACCTTCTCTCCAGACGCTAATTACAAGGGTCCTCAAGAGTACGCCCTGGCATCACTCGGCTGGATGGCCTGGTCGGAAAAATTGACACACACTCCTCTTCTTACCCCTATCGTTGAATACGGACCGTACTTGCTGAAGGGGCTGAACTTTTTCGTAGTCAAATTTGTAAATGTGCTGTATTGAAAGGCCGGAGCTCGAAATCGTCAATATTTTCAACATGTTAAATTCCCAGTGTGGAAGCTACCTTATAAGAAATGCCTGATTTTTCTAGGAGACTACTGCCTAGATTAAGTTGACCCTGAACTAATCTCTCAGTGGCGCTCTGAGACAAGTGGATGTGGGATAGAGCAGTAATCATACCCACTTTGAAGCTTGCCATTTCAGATATCCTGCACAGATTACTCATCACACCTGCTCTTCGTCGTCGGTGACCTTCCACACACTCCATGCGCTTGTGTGGCAGCACTCTTGTACTATTTTGGCACTGCAGGCCGTCTGTGGTGGCTTGTGCTTTGCTGCACATGGAACCAGCAAACTACACGCTCAGGAAACTTGGTCAGTATTTCAAACACTTGTTAAGCAGTACTTATGGATGACTTAATAACAATTTTCCAGGAGAAGTACCGCGTACAAATCCAAGTGCTGGCGTGGGCTGCACCCCTGGGTTTGGTATTATTCGCTCTCATGGCCCGCAGCACAGGTGCTGATCCACTCAGCGGGAGTTGCTGTTGTTTGTTGGGAGCGCGCCAGCAAGGTAGCTTTCTTCAACTGTTGTTTCCTGTTTGGGGCCATACTTCGACAGTACAGAAATTGAGGAGGGTCTTCAGGGTTACATCAATTGATTCAGGTGTTGGATGGAGTGTTCAATCTGTTCCGTGATCTAGTCTTCGTTATCGCCGCATGTATACCATTGCTTGTTGGATTTCGTGGAATGCTTACATCGCCGCAGGCCACATTTGGCGCCGGACTGGAGGGTGCGTTATACCCTGCAGCTGCGCTCTTCTACATGTAAGTCATTCCACCACTTTGTTGCCTTTTCCCCACCTAAAAAAGCACTGAGGACAACCTTTCAGGCTTTCATTCATAAACGATGCTTGGCAGCCGTCAATGCACTGGACACGCAGTTGGAACATCGTGTCAGCGCTGAAGATACTTATCGATCCAATTCTGGGAGTACTGGCAGCTTCTGCCTGCCTACTGCACATCATCATCAACCTCTGCCGTGCTATCAGGTACAGTTTCTCGTTAGAATAGTTATCTAATCTGGGAATTAAGAATTCTTACTTGTGGAATCTACAGAAGGGAACTGAGGGCGTCATCAATTTCACCGTCACCATCGGAAAGGAAGAGGAGTCATTTCTTCCCATCTGAGAATGAGGGACACTATGTACGATTGCATGCGTGTGTCGCTAGGTGTTGCCATACAGTACCCCAATTCTCATGCTCAGACTGGAAGAAAGCGATAACACTCATGCCTATTCATTGTCTTGCCTCTCTTGCCAAGCTTTCCAAACTTCTTACCCCTTTTAACGTAATTCAAAATTATCCCGAAATTTTGCTATCGTGCGGAGGGAGGTGGGGTATGTAGCACCAGAGAAACGAGGAAACCGCGAAAAGTCCACAACAGGAACTCGGTAAATTTCTCTCAAAGGCGAATACGGCCTCCCTCTCTCCTAACGACGAGCAGAGCGCCCATGAAACAGGAAAAATCAACTATCAAAAAATTTCTCTATCGGACTAAATACGACTTCTCTCTGGAGCGGCTATTTGCGACCTCCGCTGGGTTTCGTCAACGTAGGACATGTCGACTCCCACCTGCTTGACCAGTGCTTGGGTATAGTTGTTTTTCCTGAAGATTTCTCCAGCGCCATGACATCCGGTGGTCTCAATCTATACTCCTTATCCCTGAGACGGAGTAGGCGTCCCATTTGGACATGGCATTTGGTGGGTTACTTGTGAAATATTTCAATTGAGGTAACTGTAATCTTGTCCTTGTGTGGACAAAGACATGACCATAATTGTATCAAATTGAAAATATCCCATCAAAATCTTAGTCGCTTTCACGTTTATATGTAGTTAAAGTACGCAGCCACGCCTACCGCATCTCAGGGATTTCGAGTATAGCTAAAGTGGTGAAGCGCCAACCATCACTGAAGGTCATGCTGGAATATCACTTTGCCCTCTTTTGAAGTAGCTCTAACAATTGTGGTTTACTCTGCCATCTTCTATTCCCGGTGGAATACAGGCCTGCCTCCTCCTCTCCTCATGTCCATGCTACCCTATAAATTACTTTTACAAAAGATCATAATGTTGTTCAGGTCTCCTGTTGCTGACAAGCACGGGCTACCAACCGGCTGGCATGCACGAATTCCACAGCAATTCCTGTGAGCGTTCGTTCCCACAACACCTATGCGACCACATCACAACGATTGCCTATTTGCTAGTGATCTCTCCTAGGACAGTACCGTTGTCCTGCGGTCCCATGCTCAGGGACAAGCGCTCCTCAATCTATGAATTAATTGGTTGATTGTGCTATAGACGTTCTCTTGCAGCATTTTTCCATGACATGTGTACATAATTTTTTCTCATGTTTTCTCTCTGTTTAATGTTTTCCTCTTGTGACCCATGGATTTGTCGCGCTTCTTGAGAAGATAGGTGCTCTTGTTTCGCTTGATGTTGCCAGCAGATTTGGCTTTTTACGTGATCAATAAATGTTTTATCGCTGGGCTGATTTATTAGTAGGGTGATGGAGGTCTCTAGACGTCACAAGACGTACAAGGACGGTAGCAGTACTTCAAACCAGTGGGCCCACTTTGATACGAGCTAACTGATAGTGATGCTAGAGAGCTTCTGTAAAACACCCCGAAAGACCAGAGCAACACTTTGTTGGGGACAACACCATGCTAGTTTTCTGCATCTCATCCTGTAAAACATTCCGCGTCGGTTTCACCACTGTGAAAGCTAGAAACTCCATCTTAGCTCACCAGTGCCGACCACTAATGAGCCATGCCTTTGGATCGCTACCACACAAACAGCAAATTATCATAATTATTTAAGGACCACTTTGGCTGACGCGCACTACTGCGCGTCCAACAATGGTACTGATCACTGACAGTATTTTCTGTGCTAACACGTGGCTTAATTCCGTTTCGAAATACCATTTCGTCATATTTCACCTTTTCAATGAACATTTGCCAATGTCTGATGCTTATCACATTTCTAAAAACACCCACCATTTGCTGGAAATAGGACAGCTCAGCTTTGAAAGAATTTTGATGGTAACAGTATCGAGATCATAGTGAAATGTCCTCGCCTAGTAATACCGTTGAGCAGCTTTTACTCTGTTGGTGGCTCTTACCATTCCTCAGTGGCTAACAACTCCAGGCTTTTACTTTTTGGACTCGAGAGTTCAGCGGTCGTGTCAATTATGACAGTTTCTATCGCTAAAGGATAGAAACTGCTTGACTTACTAAGCCTGTCCTTGATTTTTGGATCACGGTGGAAAGCTCATTCGTAAGCAGAGAAAAGAGGCGAACAGATACTGGCTCTAGTTAGCCCTTGTTGGGCACTATATCACAACTTATGTCCATTTCCCCTGAACTCTCCACCATGTCCCCTATCCACTCTGATATCACTTGCTTGCGAGCGCAGCTCCCTAGGGCCATGGTGTCTTATCAGCTGTTATAACGTCTGTTGCCGATAATGCTCCCATCCTGCTCCCTATCTTACTTTCTTGGAAGCAACGTCTTACCGTCGCTGTGACGCATGTTATGAAGTTGATGACCCTCCCTTTGTGAGGCTCTTTATAGTATCTTATCAGCTGTTATCACTTTATGCCACCCACGATTAATGATCCCCTCCTGCCCCCTATCTTACTCCGTGGAACCAACGTCCTTCCGTCGCTGTGACACAGGTTATAAGGCTTCATGACTCTCACCTTTGTAAGGCCTGATGGATCTTATCAGCTGTTATCACTTCCTGTCACCCACCAATAATGTTCTCGTCCTGCCTCCTATCTTACTCTCCGAAACCAACGTCTCACCCTTGCTGTGGCGCGCGCTATGAATTTGGTGACCCTCCCCTCCTAAGGCTCCCTGTGATATCTTGTCCGCTCCATCACTTCCTGCTAACCCATTCAGTACTGCGTCCTGCCCTCAACCACCAACATACTTATTGCGTTGAGATCTCTATCGCTGTTTGGAAGGTCGTTATGAATTTCCGTATCAGAAACATACATAGCAGTCCTCATCATGCGGACCGGTGGGGGTGTTCAGCCAGAAGGAGTGCGCACACTGTTTTGAAGACGGTTCTCAGGCTTTTTGTTCAAACTTGGACTCATGCGCCAAAAAGTGATAAAAGGGAGCTTAATACGGAAGGAGTATTATTACAGTAATGCACTTGTTCGCTTCAAAAACTGGTGCAGAACGACTTTGCCAAACCGCACCAAATGCAGCCGCACTGCCACGCCCCACCGGTCCGCAATGATGAGGACTGTACAGACAGACAAACAAACAGACAGACAGACAGACAGACAGACAGACAGACAGACAGACAGACAGACAGACAGACACACACACACACACACACACACGGACACTTAGCCGGATTATATTAGTAGGATAAAGCTGTAGACGCTCATCAGCCTTTTTCAAGGATGCTCCACGTAATTTGCCTCCTTTCAGAATCGTTGTGGCGTTCGGAATGGAATATGTTCTACTTGTGCATCCGCGAGGATCGGATCGGCAATGAACGATGTCGTCCTACTAAACAGCGCGCGGCCGGCTGGATAATCCGACACCGTTGGGAGTTTAGCCTGACTCAAAAATGCGGCACGCCACCGCCGAACGAAAAAGCTCACACTACATATTGTCGAGGTGACGGAAACAACCTTGGTTTGGTTTTTCATGGTATTTGAAGGTTCAGTCGTGAAATCCTGCATCCTTGGGCCTTGAAATCTTGTGAATTAATCCCTTATTGTCGAATTCGAAAAAGCTGGAAAAGAAGCCAGTTTGCATGGCGGGGGGGGTAAAACAAGGCCATGCCCTTATGGAGGTACCCTTAAGTTATATTGTATATAAAGTTGTGAGTGAATAATTTGACACTCACTTCGCACACTGGCAGCAACTGAAGGGGACGCTGCCCACATCTTGTCCATTTTGATGCCTAACTAATCTTTGAGCAACACGAAGGTATTAACAAAGTTTCTGAGCGCTACAGCACAAATCTCATCTGTGCGTGGTCGACGGCTGCTGTTTGAAAAATGTTCCATTGCTGACGATGACTCAAGCGAATATTTAATTCCAGACAATTTATCTGTGTCAGCTGCTTCACACAAGAACCAGATTGCCCCGTCTCTTGTTCTTTTGGTATGAAGAACCTCCCAAACAAAATTGCCTATCACAAAAAGTGTTGTCTGATCGTATTCAGCTGCCAAGAATGTTCACCGGCAAGCTGTAGAATCACTTTGTCTCCCTTCTCATTCATTATTTGGACGTTTCAAGCATTTTTCGTTCATTCGTTTGTTGCCGCCATAAATGTCCGATTAGCCTCTATGTCAAATGGCGTGAATGTCAAAGTTGACAGAAATGGCCGATTAAAGGCGATGAGAGAGAATTCTTAGCCTTCGATTAAACCCACTGCTGGGATGCGGCAGTGCACTGTACTTCATTCAGAATCATAGTGGCTATTATTCGTTGTAGCCTATACAATTACTTGCCGGGCCAGTAGATGTACACGTCAGTGTTCCTATCCTCCCAGACGTATCTTTACCAATTAACCGTCCCCGGAGAGTAGAATTCCCGGATGGCTTTGGCGTGAGTGGACCCGGAAATCCAGAAATGCGATGGAGCCTGCAAGTCTATTTGCAGCGTTTTTTTTCAGAGCCGGGATGCTGCAGGCCAAATGTTCAGGTTGTCACATCGTTCACAGGAGAACACCGCTTGGTCCCAGCAAAGAAGATGCAGAACCGAAGAAGTGCTGTTTGGCTTGCTCCCTCGTAGATGCACATCATTTTAGGTGTAACTACACTCGTACACTCGAAATCCTTAAGATGCAGTTGGGCGCGGCTGCGTACTTCGACTAAACGTGGAGGTGACTGCGCTTTTGGTGAGACATTTCAGTTTGGTGTTCTACGAGTAACTCATTCTAATCCAAATGCCTACCTCCTCCTCCTCAGGAACAAGTTATATACACTTGTCGGTGGGAAATCAAATTCGTAATAACGCCTCCGTCTCAAAAAGTGGGAGGAAACTACAACGGGAAGGTGTACTGAAGAAATGCAGAGCGAATTTCTCATCATACAGCATTTCAAAAAGCTTGGCTTTCAATGCGAACCCGCTAAGCCAATGTGATTGAGATACAGACTGCACACTTACCTTCGAGAGCGGTCCCTGTGTGCGCAGCTGCAGTAGAGTGCCAGTCGCGCAGTCTCTTCATTCTGCGCACGCTTCTAATATGCAGCATTTTCGTCGGTACCGCGATTCCGCTATGAAGCATTGAGCTGGCTATGCGGCACTGCGTGTGGAATATGGAAACGGCACTCGGGTAGATCCTCCAGTTCCATTGCCGTGCACCATCGACTAGAGATGTAATGAAAAATAATCTCACTGCAGCTGTGCATCCATTCTCCCCACACACGCCAAGGTCCACGATCAACGGAGGCGAGTGTACAACTTGCCCCGAATGCTTGCTTATAACGTAGCAGTCATTTTATGCGAGGACGGGTAACTTTTCGAAAATCCGCTCATGGTATGCAATGGGCAGGGTTGTATTTTGGGTTTTTTTTGCAGTCGCCTTTAAGTGGGTCTCATCGGTACCAGTCGGGTACAACGAACTAACCACAAATCCGATCAAGAGATGAGTTCATTTCCCCCGAACATGGACCTGTCCAATTGCCAAGGGTTTGTGATCACTGTTTTGATCAGAACACAGCATTGGTATGGACGAAGTGTTTGTCAAAACACTTTCCACGCTAGCAGTGGGCGTCGTCCAACGATGCTCTACCCTGAAGAAGAGCTGCCCTACGCGGCAAGCAATACACGTTGAAGAAAAAGCGTGGGACGCACTGTCGCCGACGTGTTGAAATCGTCCTAATGTTCTACCTCTTGTATTCTTAGAGCATTGAAAAATCAGGCATCACT